TATTGATAAAATGTTTTGGGACTTAAAAGGGATAAAGCCATAAGGCCTCAGTCACTAGATAATACAAGTAGTCATAATAACTGATCTCCTGAGCATATCTGATAACCAAGTTCAGGCCCTATTAAGAAAATTATCATGAAACTAGAAGATATTTACCAGGGATATGAAAGGCTGGAACTGGTAATTAATCCTCCCTCATTGTTCAGTGGAGATTAGATCCTCAGAAGGCTGTTACAAATTTGAGCTCCCACAGTTCAAAACAGTTTTGAAATACTGGAGAGGGTCCAGATAAGAAGAAGAGAAAGTGCTTTAAGAATTGTCCCTTTAAAAAAAAAAATGGAGTATAGTTGATTTACAAAGTTGCGTTAGTTTCAGGGGTACAGCAAAATGGCTCAATTATACATACACATATATTCACCCTTTTTTAGATTATTTTTCCATATAGGCTATCGCAGAGTGTAGAGTTCCCCGTGATTTAACAGTAGATTCTATTAGTTATCTATTTTATTTATAGTAGTATGTATATGGCAATCCCAATCTCCCAATTTATCCCTCCTCCTATTACCCCCAATAACCATAAACTTGTTTTCTACATCCATGACTCTACTTCTGTTTTATAAATAAGTTCACATGTACCCTTTTTTAAGATTCCATATATAAGCAATATCATATGATATTTGTCTTTCTGTGTCTGACTTCACTCAGTATGACAATTTCCATTTTTATAAGGAAAGAGAACTTGGAAGAAGACTCACAAATGATCATTTTTGCTTTCAATTCTATATTAAGACTAGTAATTGTCAATATAGTATTCTATATCTAACACAAGTAATTTGGCTATGAAATCATCATGAAAAAACTGCATTTGTGGAGAGTGTTCTGGGGCCTATGAAAGACATCACTGAAACATCAATAACTTAAAACAGCGGTTCCCAACCTTACTGGCATCAAGGATTGGTTTTTGTGGAAGACAATTTTTCTGTGGGAAGAGTAGGGGACAGTTCAGGCAGTAATGCTCGTCATGGGGAGCAGGTGAAGCTTTGCTTGCTTGCCTGCTGCTCACCTCGTGCTGTGTAAGTTTCTAAAAGGTGAGTTTCTAACAGGTGTGGCCCTGGGGTTGGGGATGCCTGGTTTAAAGGACAGAAATGCCTCTTTCCAGAAATGCTCTGAAAGTAGCCTCTAGATGACGTGGTGAGCACGTCTAGGTGACCTGACATGCATGGCTGCCAGGAGGAAATCACTGCCTCCAAGATGGCCTCACTACTGTTCCAGACGTCTTTGTGTATTTCATACTTTACATTTTACCACTGCTTTCATTATCAATAAAGCTGATCCTGAGAAAAATAATTCACACTGAGAACAAATTATTTGTAACCAGGTACAGATGATGGGGATAATGACTGAGAGTGCCCTGAAGAGATGGGCAAAGCAGTTTGAAGGACGAAATATCGGCGTGAACCAGAAAGGGGAATGAGTGTCCTGAAGACAGACTATCTCCTCCGTCGGTTTGTCCAGGACCGAACCTGCTCTCAAAATCCAGGGAAGCTTTTCACCTCTGGTCATGAAGGAAAGATTCCTGGTGAGAGCCAGATGCCTAGATTTACAGAAGACATACCAGAATACTAGAGGCAAGTTTTAGTTTTCTCTAGAACTTTTGCAGTGTGAGTGAAAGTGAAGAAGAGAAATTTAATACAAATATATTTTCTCTATATACCTGTAGTAAAACCCAGCTTCACAAAACACATCAGCTACCAAAAGCCTAAAATAAATCTTGTATTCTGGGGCAAAAATTTTTTAATGTAATTTGATTTTTTGAGCTCAGATAGATAAAAGGGAAGAAAAGGAGCCTTCTTTTCAAAACACTCAGATCATATTTATGCTTTATTTCTGGGCATAATTTTTTAAAAGATAATCATGCAAGAGGTTATTGCTTGCTCTCAAAGCATTCCAAGCAATCAAAATAATTTGTTTTCTTTTGTTTTTTTCCTTACCCAACATTATATAGGTAAGGTTTTTGAAACATTTACTAAATTTCAGTTAATGTCAATGAGAATTGCAAAACACAATTCAAGATATGCAAGGTTTGGTAAAATTCTTTCTTCTTAGAACATTTCTGAAATATCCATTTATAGTATCACTGTGTACATTAATGTCTTCCCTTAACTGGTGAATGTGTTGTAGACGAGATATGTTAAAACAAACTTTTTCCATTTAAAATTTTTAAGGTGACACATTTGCAATCAGAATTCCTTTAACATAATTTCAGGAGCTTTATGTACTTTGTGATTTGGCTTCTGCTGCTTAATTTGAGTGATTATAAAATAATTTGTTTTTTTTTAAAGACTAAGAAGCATTTCCCAAGGTGAGCTTTTCCAAACAGAAAACTGAGTGTTATAAATTCCATCTCCCACAGACCAGAATTCACAACCATTGGTCAGGGGCAAATACCACTGGGACGGCATCCTCAGTCCCTGCGTGCCATTTCAACAAGTCGGAGCCAAAGGTAAGTTTTTACACTTGCCTTCTTCTTGGGTTATAGACTTTTTTTCCTACTATAACAAAAAAAATAATTCACCTTGCTTTAATATTTCAGTGAACTTCAATGGATTGGGTTTAGTTTGCTCCTTTTATATTTATATTATTCTTGGAAAATCCAAAATTCTGAATTAGCTTAGGAATTCATAACATACAGTGAAACAGTTTATCTTAATAGCCACGACAGATGCCAATAAAATTATAGTTGTTTCCAGTATATTCTTTAAATCAGGTGCCCTGATACAGAACACATTCTTTGCTAGTATTGACAGGCACTATTGGTTGTTATTGATTGAAATATCATGCAAAAGAAGAAAATAACAAAAATTAGGTGTTTAAAATGTACTGATGATCATATTAGAATTGTGCAATTAGAATGCCTTTTTAAGCTATATATTTTAAAGCTTTATATAGGTATATGCTATTAAAATATCATTAGATGGCATAAAGTAGATAATAAGTTCAAAGTTTCAACAAGCCACTACATTAAATATTAAGGTAAGTATTTGAAATAAGAGATATGCTTTTTATCTACACATGGATATGTGTTCTTCATATTTCTAAGGCTCACAGACTGCCTTATTGGTGATAGCTTTAGGGGATACATCAAATGCAAGTAACTTCTAATATGCAGATCTTTATAATCGAATATAGAGTATGAAGTGAGAAAAAATAAGCAAGTGCATAATTTTTTTGAACAATGAAACTCACCAGAAATGTACAAGGAAAATATATACTTCTTAGATTAGTGGTGGCCATTGTTACTGATACCCACCTGAATATGGAGATTGGTTCTTGAGAGATTTGCAAATCACACTGTTTTATTAAGCAGGACTTTGTTGGTGATTGCATAATACAGTTTCAAATCTGAGACCGTGCAAAACCTTCTGCAAAGTCAAGTAGAATAGGGGCTTAGTTTATCCTGTGTGAATAAAATTTATTTGAAAACAGCATAGGAGGGGATAGAAAGGAGCTCCTTGTACTACTTCTTATTCTCAGAGGAATTTCATATGCTTCTGCCTAAACCTGCTTCATAAAGACTTTCTTTCAAGTAACTGAAGGTCAGTTGGTCTGCCAGTGCATTCAAGTTTAAAGGTAATATTTACCATGAATTCCTTTTTATATGTCTGCGTAGGTACAAACACCACACATACTGTTCATAAGTAAATCAAAGAAGTGTATCTGAAATACAAAACCTTTAAAATTAGACATGCTTGTTAAAAAGTTTTCCAAATACTTTGTTCCTCAATAAATAATCACGAGGTAACATATTTGATAGGCTTAATTTAAACATTTAAGATTATACTAAGAGATTTTTTTCTAAACTACAATGTATTCAAAGGAGTATACACAAAATTAAAATAATTAAAATTATAAGCTATTGACTGATTCCCCCAAAAGCGTGATGTTATCATGGAAAATAAGAATTATATTAATTAAATAATTGCAAAAGATTGCTCTAATCTTGTGTGTGTGCAAATGCTCCTCTAAGGAAATCTTGCTAAATGGTGACTTTTAAACATGTATTCCCGTTGATTCTGAATCTAAATTTTAAATAGCCATTAAGAATTGAAATAAAACACCAAGGACTAAAGGAAAAATGGTTTTTCTTATCTCCTCCATTTAGTTAAGGACAAATTTTGAAAATATTGCATGAAATATTAATTTTATGTATGAACATATTAAATTATGTATATATTAATCACACCCAGAGGCAACCAAGAAATAAAAGGGAAAAAAAAAGCCTTCATTATTTTGTCTGGAAAAAGACTTGGGCTTAAATGTACAAGAAACAATCTTAGTTGTATTACTAGCCAACTCTGTCTTGGTTTCCTCATTTTTTAAATGGTATGAGAGTTATAGTAATTATCATCATCATCATCAGCTCTGCATCCCGGAGCTGATGAAATAACTTCATGCTTAGTAAGTGGAGAAACTTAGATAATGTGAAGGCTTTTGTGAATAAAGTACAAGTCACTCAGTCATGTCTGACTCTTTGCAACCCATAGACTATACAGTCCATGGAATTCTCCAGGCCAGAATACTGGAGTGGGTAGCTGTTCCCTCCTCCAGGAGATCTTCCCAACCCAGGGATTGAACCTAGGTCTCCCACATTGCAGGTGGATTCTTTACCGTCTGAGCCACCTAAGTTTATCACAGTCTTTCTGTATCTCTTTCTCTCCACGTTTCTTTATAAAATAAAATCGATTTATTGTAATTACAATATCTACTGCAAAAATGTGGGTAGGTTTGTGAATTAATTAGAAGACCTGGCATCAGTAGTCCTCAGAATCCAGACAGTTACACATGTTATGTGATAAATTATCCACTGAAAGAAAACTACCAGCTTGAGTTTCTCAGTATTGATGGTGATCTATCATGCTATTTAGTGCAAGCTATTCATAAGTTATTAGCAATTAAATATTCATGTGTTTCAATGTTTTATGATTAGGAAAGTTTGAGAAATGAAAGCATTAGCAAGACTCATTGTGGGGCTTGTCATCTTGGGTGCTGCCGTGACCGCCCCAACTCTAGAATCCATCAACTATGACTCAGAAGCCTACGATGCCACCTTAGAAGACCTGGATCATCTGTACAGCTACGAGAATATTCCAGTGGGGCGAGCTGAGGTAACCGATTCCTCCAACTCCTGAGACTTTTTAAAGCATTATATGAGGGATTATTGGGGTTTCTTCTCTTCAAATAGATTTTTGTTTACTTAGAAGTAGAGATGGTTCTGGCTTCCCAGGTGACTCAGTGGTAAAGAACTGCCTGCCAATGCAGGAGATGCAGGGGACACGGGTTTGGTCCCTGGTTCTGGAAGATCCCCTGGAGGAGGAAATGGCAACCCACTCCAGTATTCTTGCCTGGAAAATCCCACAGACAGAGGAGCCTGGTGGGCTGCAGTTCATGGGGTCGCAAAGAGTTGGACAGGACTGAGCAACTGAGAACATACACTGAAATGTTCCAAATTAATAATTTCATATTAACATTTTCTCCAGAACATGTTTGATGTGATGGAGGTTAATGCTGGAAGACTCTTTTCTTTTTTATACTTCATTTTCTTCATATCTCCTCATAAAGTTGAAAAATAAGAGTTTCTATCAAGTTAGAACAGAGAAAGAGGCAATCAGTGAGAGAAAGGTGAATTCAAATAGTACACCTATAATGATAAAGAAGTTTGGGAAGTTTGAAGTGAAGAAAAAAGATGTGAGAGATTAAAATGTATTAGAATAAAACTAAAAGAATGCAAAAAAGGGACAATGGTTTGAAACTTTACTGTTTTCCAAGTGGAAATACGCTTCCCTAAATGACTGATTACTCTCAGCAGTAATGTAGGCATTGGCAAGGTTACAGACCATTACCTAAATCTAATATGACATGTTCCTAATTAAATGGTAGGCTTTTTATATAACTAAAGGATACAGACTAATTTTTTCTGAATCAGAAAACAAGCAGACCTTGAAATGTTGGAGTATAACGAACATACAACATTGACAAAAACTAATTAAGTGCAAATAAGCCAAAAGGGAAATTACATCACCTCTACAGAATCAGAACATATTTGGGGCAGTCATTCAAGTGCAAATCTCCTTAGGATAACTTTTGATAACTAGGGACATGAAATATTTAAACAAAAGCATGTATTTAAATTGCATGAGACTTAGATACATCCTTTTTAAGATAGTAAATGTTCTCATCTTTCTTTTTATAGACTTATTAAATACAGTTAGATTTTCACTGTACAATATTTTTATATCTTCTCCCCCACCCTATATTTTACTGTCTTTCTCTCGTTTGCCCTCTTTTTTGTTTTGTTTTGTTTTGTTTGCCCTCTTGTTTGTCTATCTTTTTTTTTAGTGAAATTTCAGGCTTGACAGCAGGAGACTTTTCTTCTGAACATTTGGTTATGACTGTTTTTAAATCTTTATTAATATTCACTGTTGATTAATTTCACTGTGTGCCTTCTATTATATGAAGGGGGCTTTCTGTAGAGAATTTATAGTTCTTAATATCTATCTTGCAATAAATGTGATATCTATATCTCTATTGCATCAATGGAGAGCATTAGAAGAAAGTTTTCAGCACTTAACTCATCTGCCCTGCTCCTTTTTCCATCTTGCATAAATTTTTTGAAAAACCACAGTGTATATTTGCAGTTGTCTACTAAAATAAAGATTTTAAACTTATTTGCCATTCTTCCAAAAAATATTTCATAGGATTGGTGAGTACCATAAGTGAATTCTCTATTTTAAGTGGAGCTGAGGAATTTGGCTTCAAGGGACTATTTATTCACTTCAGAACAGATGCACAATAGAGAAAACACCTTTTGAGACTAAGCATCCCTTGTGGCTCAAATGATAAAAAAATCTACCTGCAATGCAGGAGACCTGGGTTCGATCTCTGGGTTGAGAAGATCCCCTGGAGAAGGAAATGGTCACCCACTTCAGTATTCTTGCTTGGAGAAGTCCATGGACAGAGAAACTTGGTGGGCTACAGTCCATGAGGTGGCAAAAGTAACATTTTCACATTTTTTAATACCCTGGGCAAACTGTGAAGGAAGTGAACTTCATCTGAAGACTGCTTTTAAGTTATTCCTCACTGTCAGGATTTTTTTTGTTGTTGTTGCCCAAGAGGCCCTATACATTCTCATGAAAGTCTAAAGTTCTTCCTGCCATCAAGAAAATTAAGCTAATCAATATATCCATATAGAGATGATTTAGTAGACAACCTTTCCTCATGTTTGCTTATTCTAGAATAAGAACCTTTCCGTAAGGTAATGAATGGGTGACATTATATCCTTACATACTCTAGCCCTTATTTCAGGCAAACATTTCTAATTTTCATAATGGCCTACCCAATCTCAGAAACCTAAACAGTAGAGGGTTCCAGAGAGTCACAGACAACACCTCGTAGTTGCTTAAAATACACAAATCATCACTGATAAAATAATCCTTTGCAGCGAAGTCATCATCAGAAAACTGGCTTTAGGTAGGTGGTAGACATAGGTATAGATAGAAATATAGATATAAATGTGCTATCAGTTCAGTTCAGTTGCTCAGTTGTATCTGACTCTTTGCAACCCCATGGACTGTAGCATGCCAGGCTTCCCTGTCCATCATCAACTCCCCAGAGCTTACTCAAACTCACGTCCACCGCGTTGGTGATGCCATCCAATCATCTCATCCTTTGTCGTCCCCTTCTCCTCCCACCTTCAATCTTTCCTAGCATCAGGGTCTTTTCCAATGAGTCAGTTCTTCGAATTGGGTGGCCAAAGTATTGGAGTTTCAGCTTCAGCATCAGTCCTTCCAATGAATATTCAGGACTGATTTCTTTTAGGATGGACTGGTTGCAGTCCATCTCCTTGCAGTCCAAGACACTCTCAAGAGTCTTCTCCAACACCATAGTTCAAAAGCATCAGTTCTTTGGCGCTCAGCTTTTTTATAGTCCAACTCTCCCATCCATATATAACTACTGGAAAAACCATAGCTTTCATTAGATCATTTCACAGATCTTTGTTGGCAACGCAATGTCTCTGCTTTTTAATATGCTGTCTAGGTTGGTCACAACTTTTCTTCCAAGGAGCAAGCATCTTTTAATTTCATGGCTGCAGTCACCATCTGCAGTGATTTTAGAGCCCCCCAAAATAAAGTCTGTCATGGTTTCTATTGTTTCCCCATCTATTTGCCATGAAGTGATGGGACTGGATGTCATGATCTTAGTTTTCTGAATGTTGAGTTTTCAGCCAATGTATTCACTCTCCTCTTATACTTTCATCAAGAGGCTCTTTAGTTCTTCTTTGCTTTCTGCCATAAGGCTGGCAATCTTGATTCAAGCTTGTGCTTCATCCAGCCTGGCATTTTGCATGGTGTACTGTGCATATTAGTTAAATAAGCAGGGTGACAATATGTAGCCTTGATGTACTCCTTTCCCTATTTGGAACCAGTCTGTTCTTCCATGTTCAGTTCTAACTGTTGCTCTTTGACCTGCATACAGATTTCTCAAGAGGTATGTCAGGTGGTCTGGTATTCCCATCTCTTGCAGAATTTTCCACAGTGTGTTTTCCACTGTGATCCACACAGTCAAAGGCTTTGGCATAGTCAATAACGGAGAAGTAGATGTTTTTCTGGAACTCTCTTGCTTTTTCAATGATCCAGCAAATGTTGACAATTTGATCTCTGGTTCCTCTGCCTTTTCTAAATCCAGCTTGAACACATGGAAGTTCATGGTTCATGTACTGTTGAAGCCTGGCTTGGAGAATTTTGAGCATTACTTTGCTAGAGTGGGAGATGAGTGCAGTTGTGCAGTAGTTTGAGCATTCTTTGGCATTGCCTTTCTTTGGGATTGGAATGAAAACTGATCTTTTCCAGTCCTGTGGTCACTGCTGAGTTTTCCAAATTTGCTGGCATATTGAGTGCAGCACTTTCACAGCATCATCTTTTAGGATTTGAAATAGCTCAACTGGAATTCCATAACCTCCACTAGCTTTGTTCATAGTGATACTTTCTAAGGCCCACTTGACTTCACATCCCAGGATGTTTGGCTCTAGGTAAGTGATCATACCATCATGATTATCTGGGTCATGAAGATCTTTTTTGTACAGTTCTCCTGTGTATTCTTGCCACCTCTTCTTTATATCTTCTGCTTCTGTTATGAAAGTATAACACACTTGAAAACATAAATGATATATAATTTTAAAAAGATATTTATGAAATGGGTCCAGTAACAAAAATCAATCACCCAATCCACTCACCTACCACCTATGGAAAAAATAAAAAAACAACCAAATCAATATGATAAAGGTGACAAGAGGAACAAAATTCAGAAGAACTTTATTCAGATATTCACAAATTATTACTATAAATTTCCTTATAAACAATTACCATATAATTCCCTATGGGAAAATATGAAATACAGCCAACAGTTTCAGTCATGTGAATGGATTCTAGAATCTGATTAACATGGCATGAATTTCCTGGAAGCAGTCTTGGAAGTTTAGATTCTGGAAGGTCAAATAAACTTATATATCTCATCTTTATAAATTAAAGGCAGTCTTGATCTTATGGGATACTTTTTTTTTTTTTTTAGTGTGTTTCCCTGTACTTTCTTTTTTTTTTTTTTTTTCATTTATTTTTATTAGTTGGAGGCTAATTACTTTACAATATTGTAGTGGTTTTTGTCATACATTGACATGAATCAGCCATGGATTTACATGTATTCCCCATCCCGATCCCCCCTCCCACCTCCCTCTCCACCCGATCCCTCTGGGTCTTCCCAGTGCACCAGGACCGAGCACTTGTCTCATGCATCCAACCTGGGCTGGAGATCTGTTTCACCCTAGATAATATACATGTTTCGATGCTGTTCTCTTGAAACATCCCACCCTCGCCTTCTCCCACTATGGGATACTTTTTGAGTGAACACTGATAACACGCCCATACAGGGTCTCGTTGATGAAAAAGTTCAGAGTAAATGATGCACATTGAGAATCAGGGGATCAGATTCTTCAGTTTTTTTTTTTTTTTTTTTTTGTACTTGATGCCAAGAGTGTGGTTCTGCATAATTTAGCCTAGAATTTGTTTCATCTGTACAAAAGACAACTTGATATTCTAAAATTGTAAAATGACAG